AGCAAGTGTCACTGGGGAGCAAGTGTCGCGGGAGCAAATATCAGGGGAGCAAGTGTCGTGGGAGCAACTGTCTGGGGAGCATCATACATGGATTCATTAAATACATATATAACACAACACAAATTAAAGCATTTGATCCAGATTATAAACAAAATGGATTACATTTTTATTCATTTTCCTCAAATGAATCATCTTATTATATTTATATGTAAATTCAACAAATGGAATTATTTTAACAAAAAATAATTTATTTGATCATGAATTTATTCAAAACTATTCATTATAAATAAAAAGCTTGTGATAATATTAATGCATTTCTATCATATTGTTGTTATACGAAATTATTTCTTAAATATTATTGATTTAGACGATAATTTACCTCATCTAATTTGGCTGAACTCAAGATTTATTTATTATTAATTATACAAATAAAAACAATGCCACAATTAAAACCTTTGATAATGGTTTAAATATAAATAATCGTTTAATTTTTTATAAAATTATTGGTGGTTTACTGAAGTCATCAATAAAAGTTAATTATTTTTATGGACAATTATTTTTTTATCAACATCAATACATCCTATTTATGGAAATCTTATTATATCAATATCGTCTAAAACAACTATTCATTTAAATATTCTTATTCATGATAATCAAACGAATCCATAAGAATTTTTATTATCATATAAAAATCTTCATCACAATTTTTTATTTTCATCATTTCATTTGGAATTTTCATTTTTCTTCTTACAATTATTCTTATGATTTTTTACTTTTTTAAACAAAAACATAATCATCATGATCAATTAATGAATATTCGTAATTGACTTTTAGAAGTAGAATAGCGTTTATTATGAAATAGTCATCTTTTATTTTCGAAGCATGAGTATTTACTTCAATAATGTATGAGATAGTCATTAAGATTTTCAATCTTTTATTTTCATATCATAAAAAAAACGAAATAAAACTAACAAAATAACCTGGATATTGTTTTATTCATTAGTCTTCACCTGGTAATGATATAAGATCCGACAAATGAAAAAAATCTTCTAAACGTTCATCTTTATCTATCCATTTGTTTGCTTTTGCAGTTTTAAATGAACATCTACCATGCCAATTTAATAAACGTCGATATGGAAAAAGATTAGGAGGCAATTGCAGAACAGCATTGTCAATGTCATTGAATGTTCGTAATTCATTGAAATTTGTTCTGTTTATTGCATCATCAACAATAAATGTTTGTCTAAGATCATTACATAAAATCTTGACACGTAAATTGCCAGCAAATGGATCATAGAGAAAGCACAATTTTTTAGAATCAAAAGTTTTTTCAATTGATTCATACAATAATAAACCGTTTCGTTCATTATTAACATCCGATTCACTTAATTTAAATTCAGTTAATCCTACACCTTTTGTAGCTGCTTTCCATATATGTGAAGCACGTACAAAATTTCGGTCGAAGTATTTGTTTAAGATCATACATTTAATTGTTCTCATCTTGGGTGAACCACAATTATAATATGTAATTAACTTATTTTTAAAATCATCTTGTTCTTCTTTTGTTCTGGTTGAACTTGTATCCCAACAATCTAGTTCACTTTTAAGACGATCTTTATTTTGTTGTAAAAGATACTCAACCTTCAATGATAATTTTTGTATTTCTTCAGTAAATTTTGAATCAGTTTCTTGTTTTTTATAAATTTCCAAAAACATCATACTTTGTTCTCGTAATTTACTTGCCGATGCAATATAATAATTAAATAAATTGTTGTTGGTACATATTTTCATTTCCTTTTCGTAATCCTTAATCGCTGCATCACATTTTTCCATATCATGTTTAATTTGATCATAACTAATCGAAGATGTTTTTTTTTCTTCATGTGAATTTTTTTCTGATGATGTTGTAGAAGTTAAACTCATTTCAGTTGATTTAGAAGTATTTAAAGATTTTTTTGGAGTAGATGTTCTTGTGTCTTCATGTGCTTGTTTCTTTCTCGTTCCCAGGTGAACTAATCCGACATCGGATTCCATCGGATCTCTTAGGATCCAACATTCCGACAAAAACCCGACGGATTCCTGGTTGAGGAATCGCTGTCGGATCCGACGGACAANAGTGAATAAGCTTCTGATGCCATCAAATTACAAGGGTTGTATGCTAGCGTCGGTTTCCGTTGAATTCCGACACAGGTTTTTCTCGGATTCCAGCGGCAGGGATCCGACTGTAAATCCGTTTCCAGGAATCCAACGGAATTTCACCGGTTTTATTAACATTTTAATGATATCGGATAGGATTCCCTCTGGGATCTTATCGGATCCTACTATCGAAATGATTCTTCTGGGTTGATGTTTTCCATCCATTAAGAATTTCTTTAGCTGTATCATTCTTAAAAGCATTTACTGTTTGATGGATATCAAAATTAAAATGAACTAAAACTAGTTCAAGATCATTTCGTTCTGGTATAATATCAAATTTAATTAATTCAGTTTGAACCTTTCTAAACTTCTTAGAATCCTTTTCAGATAATGATGCAGCCAGTTTTTGCATCTATAAATCAAAATAAAGAAACATTTATCTTTGAAAAATGCGAAATTTACCACGAGAAATTGACCAAAATCTATCGATGTGAAGCTACCACGAACACCATCCGTCACCACGAACAATGCTATTGTTTGCCTGGCAATGATTTAAACCAATAAAAATTGAGAATTAAAGAAAACATCATTATGGAGAAATGGTACGTTCTCCCATACTGGAAAAATGCACTTTCACTATCGGTTTATGCACCGACAGGGGGCCCCACCCATTTGGTCACTTTTAAAAGAACTTTTGATCTTGGATTTTGAACTCATAAAGTGATCTCTTAATTTTAGTAATATCAATTTTGCCGGCCCCAGTCTGGTTTTCGAGATCGTCACCCATTGGTCACTGTAAACACGCGCGATTGGTTGACGTCATCGTGCGTTGTCTCGTCTATATCTGTAATAAAGTTCATGCATATTTCCTAAGTATTGTTTTATGTTTTTGCTCATCCACATCAATGCCAGGTGTAACGAACAACTTGATTAGAGTAGCTTGTGACGTAGGATATCTTAGGTCGGGATTCGAGTATTTCTTGAAAATCTTCGCCGTGAAGCTGGCTCCAACTAAGGACTTCCTGGCTCCAAGTAGATCTCGACGAGCTCTATCCACTGCAATATTTTTTTTCTCACCAAGTAACTTCCTTCCGTCCG